GTCGCTTGCCAAATAAAATTATTTCTTTTTAACGTCGGCAAGACTGAAATAGTAGGTTGTATGCTGGGCGCACTGTTGGATCCGAGGAAAAATTTTTTTTTTATCTCATACGAATTAGCTTACGAGGAAATGACGATTGAGTCATATCTCTTTTATGTTTTTGCGATAGTGCAGCAGCTTGTTTGGGTATTATTATTTTTTGGATTGTTTTGCTTTCTTGCCGATGCGTAATTATAGGCGTGACGTTATTCACGCACTGATGCAATTTTCTTTTTTCAATCATTTTTGTTGGTATTCAATTTTTTAATCTTTTTTCGACATTATCGTACCGCGTGTCAGTGATCCCGCTTATACGTAACCTTGAGCTTATACCAGCTCGCGAGTTTTACGGGCGGCTGGGACTATGTCGTTGCGCGCTGCCGACTAAGGATGAACTATTAGAAAAGCACAGAGTGCGTATTTCATTGGGAAGTGATAAGGAAAATAAAAATTTACTATGCATTTTTGTGCTTTGCCCATCGCCGGATACATCCGTTTCCGTGCGCGATTTTGAGAATCTGATGTGAGAATCGTGAGAAAAAAATTTGTATTGGGCATCGATTGGTCATATTATTATTTTTTGTTTAAATTTTGTTTGACAAAATTTTAATTTATTATTTGAAAAAAAAAAAATTATTCTTCCACGTACCAATTTCGCGTATTCGAGCCCTGAAATGAAACTGGCGACGCTTTACCACGTATACCGCAGACTGAACTTCGGACGCGTAGTTTAAACGATAGGACTTGGCAATAATCTAATCGAAGCAGTGGGTGTTGGTGTCGGTGTCGCAATGTATTGCCTACATAGTTATGTCTCTCTATAGCCCAACTAGTTTCGCGCTTGATAAAAATGGCTGCTCTTAGTCAGACAGCTTGCGACACCGGGCACCATGGCGTCCTGTACTGGCGTCCTGCATGAGCGAACCCAAGTGTCCGGGGTTTTGCCTGCGTGACCCACTTTACTCGCCAAGCAAATCGGATTCGTGGCAAATTCGATTCGTGCGCGAGCATTGTCAATTGATAAAGCAATAATCGGCAGAATAATAGAATAACAGGATTGTGAGAAGAAAAAAATTTTCAAATAAATTTTTTCTTACATAAACCAAAAATAAATTTTTGAAAAATTTTTCAAAAATTTTCAGACTACAATTTACGTCGATAGCGAAGCTCGAAATTATTTTCATAAAAAAAAATTGGCTCGACACTGACTCATTTAATAAACATTCACCGAGTTTTGTATATACACCCAACCTTTTTTTTTCATATTTATTAACCCCAAGGGCTTTATTGTCTGTGAAAAAAAATGGTTCGCGAGATTCTTGTAATTTGTCCGTTACGCCTCGCAGGGCCGTACGCGAACTGGAAGAATTTTCATTTGGTACGAACAATGGGGGTGTGGGAGGGGTTCGCTGTTGGCAAGTTTGTATTTGGTATATATATATGGCCTGGTAAAAAAAATAAAGGACTACTTGGCTTTAAATCCAGGGGCGGTCACAACCCTCCGTATAATGAATAGATACGCTACTGCTAATCCAGTAAGGGTGAAATTTAGCATTTGAATTGGAGACCGAATTTTGCTCGAGGCTATTGTCACGGTTATCGCGTGTTTGATTAGTCGAATCGACGTATAAAATTTTTTTCCCCCCCGTTACATTTTTATTCCTGATTTCGATCTACAGCTTAAACAAAAATGAGTATGAAAATTTAAAAAAAATTTTGATTATTAAAATTGCGATTACTTCACATCCTTCTCGGTTTTCGAGGAATCGGATTGACTCGAGTCATTTTTATTATCCGATAAAGCTTTGAGTGCCGGTAGTGCTTGCAAATTACCAACTTATAACAATTATAGTAAACTGATAATGTATTTGTTATCGCGCACGATAAAAACGCAAACTGCTGCCAACGTTAAACTTCGCGGTCTGCCAAGACGGCTAAAGCATAATTATTTTGTTTACGCGCGTGAAAAAAGTAACGCGAACTTTAATGACTCGTGCGAAAAAAAAAAAAAAACAAATTGGCAAATTATTATCGATACCAGGTACAAATTCGTGTAAAATAATATTCGTACCATTAGATAAGACAGTATTACGCAATGAATTAATTTACAATATTAAAATTACGAGACTTTAAAAAACATCGTCGTACCCCGTCACTATTGACATTATTCCAAAAAAAAAGCACTTCGCTCCGTTTCGAGTCACCCGAAAGATGCATTAAAGATAAAACGAAGAGACAAAGGACATGCGAGTCTTTAATATTAATACGAAGCAGACGACGACGCTTTTTACGTCCCAGGATACGTTAAAAAAATATTTCTGAATAATACAGTAATGGTGAAAAATTTTCAAAGAGATTATTCCACGAGTTGTCGCGCTCGGGAAAAAAATTTTTGAATAATTCACAAGATTTTCAAAATCAAACGACTTTTTTTTTTATACTTTAAATATGATTTTTATCCTTACCCATAAAGTTCCTACGATTGGTTTGCCATTTTCGGATAAAATTCGAAAAAAAATTATAACTCGCGCAAATTCGAAAAATCGAACGCGGAGTTTCCCGATACGAGGTCGGATATTATAAAACGCAAGTTCATTGTTCTGACCTCTTTCCCCTTAATGGCCCGAACT